ATTTATTTTTTTCCGAGGTTCTTGTTGATTTATTGGAAGATTAAAAAAATTATGCATTTATTTTTAGACAATTTAGGGCACACACGGAAATTTTTGAATTCTTTTTTTCTCAATTTTGCTTGCTAAATCTATATAGCAAGTAAGAATCACGACTTTAATAATGATTGCGGTTTTAATGAAAAAAGAAATAATTTTTATAAAAACAGAAAAATTATCATGATAATTTCGATAAAATTAATTGTTATTTTCTTCAGTTAAAACATGTTCAAAAATTGTATTTTTCGCATATTAAGACTATTTTATCATGACTTTCAAATTCAGCAAGTGAACTAAGGAGAATATTTTATAATTCTTAACGATATAACTATAGCGTTACAATGTCGTTGCGCAGATGTTGTACATGATAAAAAACAATATTATAACGTTACAATTATAGTTGTTAAAAGTTATAGAATAGGCCCCTTAGTTTAATTTTTTCTTAGTTTTCTAAAATGAGAAAAAGAAGAATCCAGCGTGCTCCTCAAATTGCATAACTTCTTTAATACTAATTTTTAGATAACAATACAATAAGTTATTACACAGTCAGCTTTTTATTAATTCCTCATATCATTACTTCTATATTTTTCTTGCGCGCAGTAGTATATTATTATAATAACGAATGTAATTTGAAACATTTTGTTAATAAAGCCAGAAAGTAAATAAAAAACTTTTTTTAAAGAAGGATATACTTCATCCTTTACTCGACATAATTACAAAGATCTACAACATTCGTCAACATTCAAAAATCTATATAAAAATGAATCGCACTGATTTCAAAAATATATTAATTTTCATAAGAAAAAACCATTCCCTAAATTGTCCCTTTATCAATGTATGCCTTCTAATAAGCGATAAAAAAAAATAACACGGTATGACACAATGGATCATTATATCCTTATTGTCAATGTTAAACAAAAATGCATGAGCATTGTGTCGCATGTATGAAGGCACACAAATGCACACAATACTTCCGCGTAAACGATTGTAGCGCCATATGATGATCAATTTTCTCGCGTTCTTTCATTTGTTAGACACACGTGAACATGGCTCCGGTGAGTTGTCATTCTTGCAAAAATACAATGATTATTCGTAATTATGGCAGAATTTCGTTAAACTAACATCACGTACGAAAAGAATCCGACTTGTCGATCGCGATAGGTTAACTTATTGTTTTATGTTGAGCTTATTGTTTCAATCTAGTCCGATATGTATCTTACCATACGCTCCTATCCCGCCTCCTTGGATGATTTTCCACGTGTCTCATAAAATGATGGCAACATTATCATTAAACAGATTATTTTCATAAATTTTTAGCCAGCAAAGAAAACTAAAGGCCCGATTAAGAAGCAACTGCTTCGGGGCAAGGGACAGAAGAAAAAGGTATCCTTGAGGTTTACGATCGATTGCACGCATCCCGTGGAGGATAATATTATGGATGTAACCAATTTTGTAAGTTACATTATTGTTCTTAATTATTTCAGATTATATAATACTCTCTTTTTCCATCTATGAGAATTGTACTCGAAATTTCTCGTTTGATTGAAATCGAGATCTAACCTTTTTCTCGCGGATTCCTAACCTCTACGTGATGAAAAATTCTAACGTTGATTTATTTTGAATTGCATGATGCCTACTGAAGTTTTAATACTATATCTTTGAGACTGATTATTATAAAATAGTGATATTTTTTTCTTTTTAGGAAAAATATTTACAAGAAAAAATCAAGGTTAGTGGTAAAACTAACAACTTTGGCAACAATGTTGCCTTGGAACGTAACAAGATGAAACTCACTGTCAACAGTGATGTCGATTTCTCGAAACGGTGAGTAATATCGTTTTTCTGTGATTGTAACAATCGTAGAACATTATTATAACATAAAATTGATACCCAATCAGTTCATATAAACCATTTTAAATAGTTTTAATATGTCGTGAGTCAATCACAAAGTTGAATTAGAATCTTATGATATTGCTTCAGACAATCTTTAAATAGGAATATGAATACTGGCTTATAGATGCTTACCATTTAGACTTATTGATAATCTTATTTAAAACCATTTTAAGTAATATCTTAAAATGCTAATACATCTCTGTGATCGACTTAACTGGCATCTACAATGAGTAAATCTTAAGCTTTAAACTCTGTGCTATAAGAAATTGATCGATCATAGTTGAATACAAGAAGAATAATCGACTATGATTAGTCAATTTCTTATGACTTAAGGCTTAAGACTTCGAGTTTAGATAATGACTTATTATACAAAGCCCATAAGAACAACTGAATACCTGTTGATTCTAGTCAACACAAATATCATTTTATCTTAGCATTTAATGAGGAACAAAGACGAAACGATATTATGTATATGTGTCATCTTGTTTTCATTAAGGAGATAAAATCTTATAATATTAAACAATATTAAGGCCAATATTCATAGTCCATTATTATTTCAATATTGTCTTAAATAACGTCTTAATATGTCCCTCTAGTTGGCTCGTGACATCTTAAGATAGTTTTAAAATAAACATTGACTATGAATATTGGCTTATTTTTTACTATTACAAGTTTACTATTATAAGGTACAAGAAGAGCGATATTTGCACTAATTTGGAAAACATGTTATTTTTTGTTATAGATATCTCAAGTATTTGACAAAGAAATACTTAAAGAAGAACAAATTGCGTGATTGGTTGCGAGTAGTATCGAAAGACAAGGAAACGTATGAGTTACGATACTTCCAAATTAACAGTCAAGAAGATGATGATGAAGAAGATGTGGAATAATTCTCTTAATTACAAATGTGTCTGTATATATTTCGTTTAATAAAGAACACTAAAATTCTTGATTATTTATGCGAATACAAAATAATTAGCTTTGATTATATAACAACTATTTTTAATTTTTCAACTGTAATTTTGTGATCATGCAATTCTATCAGTTGTATATGCATTTCTGTAATTATTTCAAAATATAATTGCAAAAAGGAGACGTACGAATTTTTACAAATATTAAAGTTTAGGTAAGTTTTCACAAATTTTAATAAAATGTATGACTGTAATGTATTAAGCAATGTATAGTGGATAATATTTAAATATGGATTCGCAATATCACTTCTAACGCAATTAAAATGTGCTTCTGAAGTCCTAACTAGTATAAAATATTTAGGATTTGCATCAAGTTATCATCAGTTCTAACTGACAGCTTCATAATTTGGACGCATTATCTGCTGAGAGCGTTAATGTACAAGTGAACTTTTCAGATCATACAACTTCGCGCGAAAAGTTGACGGCCCCTTAATGATGAATTCAACCACTTTGTTCTACACTGGATCAGTACACATTAAAAAAAATCAGTTCTTTATATAAAATATCTCAATGCAATGATATAATATAATCAATTTTGACAATAAAATATTCGTTAAATAATGTGACAATATCATTAGTAGATAGTTAATTGTTTAAAATATTTATACTTTCATATTTTACTTTGCTAATTGCTTAATTAATGTATAGCAACGTTTAATGTGCACTGATCTAGTGTAGTCTAAATGATCCGAATTCGCTATAATTTATAAGTTCGACTCTAGCGAAAATTCTGACGAACTCGCGGCGAAAATATTATTGATATTAAGTTCAGAACATAACGCGTACTTGGCAACGATCGTGATAGCTACGTTGTTCATTGTGAAAAAGATTCGATGAATGTCCCCTGAATCCTGTCGACTCTGAGATGATGTTGCACGGCACTTTCGTCATGGCGTTCGACGTTCGATACACGCGCAATATATATGCGTCTTGCGTTTCGGAAAAAACACTCGCGAATCAAAATCTCAACCGCACGCGGAATCCGCTTCTGAAAATCGATCGCGATCGCGGACAATTAAACGCGCGGACGCGATTCGAACGATTTCTATTCCACGATGACGTCATGACGCGCTCGCCAATCGACGCTGACCAATGGCGAATTTGAAATATCAAAAGAGGCGCGAAATCGCCTCTCGAAGCGCCGCGTCGCGGCGGACGAGAGAATTATTGGCTACGCTCGGTGATTCTTTAATTTGATTGGTTCCTTCTATGTAAGAAAATGTATCAAGTCTATTCTATTGTGCTCTCTCTTTCACCTGTATTCATAGTCCTTCCTTATTTTAAAGGTGAAAGAAACTTCCACGAAGGATTCCTCGATTCTTCAAGATCTTTTTGTTTCATGAACTGATCTCAAAATCCGAAAGAAGAAATATTTTAGAGATTTCAGTAATCTACTAAAGCATGTCGTAATATATAATATATGCAAACCTAATATCGTGAATTACGAATAATAAAGATTATAAAGGTATTGTTAATTAAATAAAATGATTAAGCATTTTACAATAATAATGGACAAAAATAAAACTAATAGCGAATTCGATTGGACGCATTAAATACGCACTGATGATGCACATTAAAACCGCCGAATATACACAAAATAACGTAATATATGTTTATAAAAAATCAATTATATAAACATAAAAATAAACATAAACATAATAAATCAATTAAACATAAAAAATAAACATAAAAATAAACGTAAAAAATCAATTAAATCGTGAAATACTCAATACTTTTATTGTACTATTATGTAAAATATGTATTTCATAATTCGAGATATTTGCATTTTATTTTTATACTAAAATTAAATCATTGTACAACGGCTTTAATATACATCAGTGCTTCCAATCGAATTCGCCATGCTTATTATAAGAAAAAGGAAAAAATGCTTTTAGAGGAGTTTATTTTCGAAAAAAGCTATCAAAAATAATTATCGATACATCAGATTTAAATTAAAAAGTTATCGAAAAAGACCAGTAACGAATTAAATTTGGAGATTTGCTTTGATTATGAAAGCTAGATCTCCTCCTCAAGGAAATTCGTAATCTATCTTGAGAAAAGGAAGCTAATAAGGCTTCTTTGATCAAGGAAGATTTATGAAACGTGAAATAAGGAACAAAGAAATCCTCATTCTTCAAGGAAGGACTATGAATACGGGTATTTGTTTTCTGTTACTTGTTTTTTTACCTGTTGCTTTTTCTGCTTTGCAATCGTTTTGTCAACAATATTTTTTATACATATTTCTTGTTTCTTTCCAAGTTCATTAATTTTTATCTCAGACGATATAAAAAAATCCGGAGAAAGAAGTAAAAAGACAAGATGAAAAAAAACAAAAGGCAAGAAACAGGAAACAAAAGGCACATTGTAAAACAGGCTTTAAAGTTCTTCGTGTTTTTTTCTTTCTTTTCCATGAAATAAAGAACTCTGATTGATTGAATTTCTTATACTTATATGTTACGTATCATGCAAGAGCTGTGCTTTCTGTTTAAATATTTAAATCATTTGATGCTCTATGAAATGATAATAAGACAAAAGCGGTTATATTCTTTAATTTGCACGAAAGAAATTACACGATATCGATAATAATTTTTCATTTTTTACATGTTTGTGTATTTTCACTGTGTTAATTTTAACGTTAGAACGATTTGTTTCCACACGATTTGTTTTTTTTAGATAACGCCAATTCATGTTATACTCGCGAATTGATAATTTCAAGTAACACGAATAAACCTCATCTTTCTCCTTTTTCTCTTCACGTTAGAAAGAAAAGGAAAAAAAGATGCGCAATGGTTAAAAAAAATTCAATTGAAAAGAACAGACTTATCCAGTCATTCGCATTCTTTTCAGCTTTCGCCGAATTTCTTATTTCTTATATCCGCAAATTTTCTCAAGTGATTCAACAATTTTTGTAAAAAAATTATTGGTTTTTGCGACGTCATTTCAAATCTGTTTTCTGTAGCTGAACTAGTGTACACTTTTGGAACTTAAAGTGAGATAGTTATATGTTTGATATTTGTCTAAGCGAGAAAGAGAATTCTAGACTGTTTTGGAAGTCTCAAAGGGAGAGTGGGGAGACTCCATTATGTGAGCCATCTCCTCTGATTGGACGCGGGCATCAAAGTTCCATAGGCATAGAAAAGATTGGAGAAAACTGATCACGTGACCCTCGTCCTGATTGGACGCAGGCATTTATATGATACAATTTGCCATTTTTTCCCTTTGAGCTTCGAAGCTCTCTAGTTCTAAAACAATCCAACAGTGCGGGAACAGAAACTGATCTGAGTAGTCGTTCATCACTCGTTAACAAAAAAGGAGAACTATTTTCTCACGGCGGAGGAGCGCTCGTAATCAAACGCGCAATCGCAACGGCCTGTGACGCACGGCGATTGTTGTCGCGGTCGCGAGAGTGACATCGAAAATCGCGTTCGTGTCAATTCTACGCCCGTGAGACTCGTATCACGGAGAAGTAAATCAGAAAGAGATAGAAAAGGAGTGTTCGCACGTGTGTAAACGAAAGGGCGAGCTACGGAGGAACGCAAGTGAAGGCACGAAGAAGAGCGTCGTCGCCGTCGTCATTGTGTCGCGCGACCCGCTCGCAGACGAGGGACAATGAAGTTCCAGTACAAAGAGGAACATCCGTTCGAGAAGAGGAAGGCCGAGGGTGAGAAGATCCGACGGAAATATCCCGATCGGGTGCCCGTAAGTACAAAGCATCTTTCAAGGTTTCACGAGGGTCTACGCATCCCGAATGAATAGCTTCCGTTGCACTTCCCGGAAGGAGAGTTCTCGCGAATATCTACGAGGGGGAGATGCGGGAAGCCCCTTCCTTCCCTCCGTCCTTGTTGCGTCGGCTGCTTTCGTAATGTCGCGCCGCGGCCGTCCCTCGATGGTCCCCCAGTGAAGCCCAAGGTCGTCCTCGTATTTTGCGTCGCATATCGTATCGGACGAGACGCTTCTCTCCGACAGGACCTCCGTCTTTCTTTTTTGCGCACTTACGCAGCGAAATCGCGCTGCGCTTCGAGTACACATCCTTCTCCCCCCTGCACGTGTATTGATCTGCTTCACGACGTGCAATCGACTGTTTTCCAGCGTGTCGAAATTTCACCTGGAATCACCTAGTTTTTTGAATTTATTTACGTCAGACTCGCGACATGATCGCTCCGCGTCTCGGATTCGAATAGTCTCGAATGTTTTGGTCATCTAGTAGAGGACACGTCACATTCTTGAAAATTATTTGTCTCGTTATTAATTCAGGAAATGATTTGCAACATTTTACTGCTAGGTTAAAACCCAAGTTTTCTGAGTTAAACATATGTAGAACGTATATTCTTGTTAAGCATTGTTTTAAAGCATTGTTTTTATTTTTGAGCCTGGAAATTGTGACAGTGTAATAATTTCGATTTTTCAGTAAATTGCCCTGATTTCTTTCAGAGTCGAATTAATTAAGTTTCATTTAATTTCTCTCAATTTTTAATAAATAACAAACAAATTAACGAGCATTCACAAATTGAATATATTTTGCTATTTATTTAATTATTTTTAAATATTTAATTATTTAAGTATTTAATTATTTTTAAACATATTTTTGCCTTTCGAAATATATTTCAAATTGGACATTAGGAGGATCTTTCTACGAATAGATTACATTTACATATTTTGATGAAAAAAACATGTTTTACAGATCAAATATTCCGCAAATAAGAAAAAAAGAAACAGAAAAAGATAGATGACTGATATTAATGATTGTTATTGATTTAAATCCCAGCAGATTAATCTCTTTTTAATCATGTTTTTTAAAACATGTGATTCATCTCTAAATTTATCCTAACTCATAGTATTTTCATAATCATGATCGTGATCGTCACAAAAGAAAGAATAAAATGTTTATCTTCGCTGTACATGAATCATTGATCACATGATGTTTCACTCAAAATTATCATATCGAATTACACTGAACCATCTCACTCGGTCTCACATTAAGTACAATACATAATTGAAACTTGACTGTAGCGAGCCAGAAAAAATTATTTTTTAATGATTTGTTTGCGAAAGCTGAATTGTTAATTTACTAGGCGAATAACAACTTCAATTGGAGATATTATACAGTAATCGATTTGTGCATTTGCAGTAACTAATTAAGATATAATCCTAATGTCAACTAATATTACATTTTTATATATTTAAAAAATATTTGAAAGACATAATGTAAATATTGTTGTAGGTGATAGTTGAAAAGGCACCTAAAGCAAAGATCAGTGATCTGGACAAGCAAAAGTATTTGGTACCTTCTGATTTGACTGTCGGTCAATTTTATTTTTTAATTCGTAAGAGGATTCATTTACGTCCTGAAGATGCCCTATTCTTCTTCGTAAACAACATCATTCCTCCAACAAGCGCTACCATGGGTTCCCTTTATGCGGTAATTGAAATGAATATCATTATGAAATATATATATATTAAATGCTTTGATTTTTATTTCATAGTCGCTCGTCTAATCTTATAAAACTCTTCAACAGGAACATCACGAAGAGGATTTCTTCCTATACATAGCGTATAGCGATGAAAATGTATACGGTCACTAAACCCCCAGGATGAGCAAATTGCCAAAACAGCAAGGGATTCAACAACAAAAATCTACCATCTACCAACGTAGTCCTCATAGAGACGCTTTCGAAAACCGAGCATACAAAATTACATCTATCGATATACTTTGTGTGAAATTTTATCTTGATATTGTATATTCGCTTCCATAAATCTACACAACCATATTCTTGGATGATAAAAGATGCTTGTCGATTCCATTTTTTTTGTTCTATCATCTAAGAGGGCTTAGTTCACGTATTATGTAAGAACTAATTTGAGCAAATTTATGTGATCATGTAATATCTAGCCTGGCCACCTATAAAAAAAAATAAGAAAAAACCAAAAAAAATCTGCATCATCGTTAACATTCTCACACATTATGTTCTTCATTGCACGTTACAATCATAATGGTTTTTTCTTTTTTTTAGACTAGCACCTATATCGTACTGTATCATTATAAATTTAAAGTATGGTATAGACGGAAAATCATTATATACGTGATATCATTTTCAATAATATATATTAGATTAATGTTGTATTATACATAATTTTGACGTTATTTAATTAAAAGAACGAAGAGAAATTGTTGGATGCGAGCGAGAAAAATTTTCTGTAATCTCGAAAATGTAAGGCCAATAAAAAAAAGTTAAAATCGTGAAAACATGTCTTTGTCTATTCTTCTAAAATAATCTAAAATATTTTCTCATTTTAATGATTCGATTCTTTTAATAGTTTCGCTTGATCGGTTGCTGACAGAAATCCTGACATTACTATCAATACCAGACTACCAATACCAGACTTATTTTGCCCGTACATTCTAAATTTTTAATTTGTTTGTCCCGAGAACACTCCGCGCTCAATACATACGAACGAAGATATTAGCAGTCAAATTCTTTCTAGCGACGAAGTAAGTTGAACATCATGGAACTGGCGAATTCCGAGAAAAATGATACAAACGTTACTGTTGATAGATATGTTAGTTCTTTATACAATCTTACGCAAGAAGATAGCAACTGGATCGTCACGAGCTCCTTCATGATTTTTACAATGCAAACAGGTAATACTAAAATAATCTTTCCGAAATATGTAAGTTATACTATCTGTCTGATTAAGAGATGAACCGTTATTTTTGTACTTTTATTAATACGCGCGGCAATATTGATTCTCTTACAAACTCTGTAGGTTTCGGAATGTTAGAATCCGGCTGTGTATCTTTGAAAAATGAAGTCAATATCATGATGAAGAATGTAGTCGATATAGTTCTCGGTGGCTTGACTTATTGGATCTTTGGATTCGGATTTAGCTTTGGCTTGTGCAAACCCAACAACCCTCTAATTGGCATCGGAGGTATATTCGTGGATCCTCCCGTCGACGACGAATACATGGGTTCCATTTGTGCCGCATTTCTATTTCAATTAAGCTTCGCCACTACCTCTACGACCATCGTTAGTGGTGCTATGGCAGAACGGTATTTATTTTCGCAAATACGATATCGAAGACGTATCAGTTATACATTTTGTATTTCTAGATGTAACTTTAAGGCATACTGTCTCTTCTCGTTTTTGAACACTATTGTATACTGCATGCCAGCCGGGTGGGTGTGGGGCGATCATGGTTTCCTGAACCGCATAGGGGTCGTTGATATTGCTGGTTCAGGCCCGGTGCATCTTGTTGGTGGTGTTTCAGGTAATCAGAGTTATTCTTATTCTATTAAGGATATCATTGCCAAGTAATCAATGATAAACGGATAAATTTCGATAGATGCATTTACCTGTTAATACAGCTCTCGCTTGTGCCATCATGCTCGGTCCCAGAATAGGTAGATACGACAACGGCATCGATCCTCTACCACTCGGATGCCCAGTCAATGCTATTATGGGGCTATTCGTGCTATGGTAAAGCAAGTAGATTACCGCGATGTCGAATGCAATAAATAAAATATAAAAAGGATTGTGAACCATAAATAGGTGGGGCTGGTTAGCGTTCAACAGTGGTAGTACTTACGGAGTAACCGGTGATCGATGGCAATACGCCGCTCGAGCGGCTGTCTCCACGATGATAGCCAGTATGGGAGGTGGTCTCATCGGTTTGGGATTCAGCTTGACTAATCCGAATGGAATTGATATCCTTAGTCAGATAAACGGTGTTCTTGGCGCATTAGTGGCAGTTACCGGTACATGTTTTAATACAGAAAACGTGAAGAAACAACCGATTTTTAAGCGTTTATGTTGCCTTAGGTGGATGTTTCCTGTATAGGAATTGGGAAGCGATGATAGTCGGAATGGTAGGTGGTTTTATTACGTGTATCACAATGCCCGCATTAGACAGACTTCACATAGATGATCCTGTTGGTGCAGCCGCTACTCACGGTTCGTTTATATTAATTTCATCAATATATCAAATTTTTATAAATTTCTCTCCATCGTGACAATAAACACTCGTATTCATTTAAAGTATAGGCGCAAGTGGTATCTGGGGAGTTATTGCTATCGGTTTATTTGCTGATAATCCTCATCCCCTTGATACCACAAGTGGAAGAAAGGGTTTGTTCAAAGGTATACAATGATTTTTATGCATCTTTTTTATTTCCAAGTTAATACAGTGCATGAATTTCTTCTTTTTCATAGGAGGTGGTTGGTACCTTTTAGGAGTACAAAGTTTATCTGCACTTTGCTTATCAATTTGGAGTTTCTTCAGTTCTATTACACTGCTATGGGTTTGTAATTTTATTTCTTAAAAAAAATGTATTATATGTAAAATATAAATGATATCTGTAAATGTCCTTATCCGTAGATAATAGATAAAATAATACCAATTAGAATGGCAGTTTATGAAGAAGTACTCGGAGCAGATCTTGTAGAACATAGAATACGTCATTCAAAAGTACGAATTTTCTTAATTTTTTAATATAAAGTTTGTTTTACAATATGTGATATGATGTTTATTTACAGATAGGTGTGAGTCGTGCTATGTCAGCGCTTCGACCATTTACTATGGAAGAAGTACTAAGGAACGTACCTCCTGTAGGCATGAATCCTGGTAAGAGAATTACATCTAAAGTCTGTACCGAAATGTGTAATAACGTGCACTTTTGATACAGGTCATGATTCATATATTACTCAGCATGAAAAGAAGAAATTAGCGAATTTCTCAAAATCTGGGAAACCTCAATTGCCAAAGAAGCTGATGGCGAGAAATTCCCAAATCAGGACGATCGCGGACTCTACGATAACCGTGGAAGCGAAACCACAGTTTGCTTGGATAGATTAAAAAACGGATCCACAGACTTATACTTTATCAGAGATGTAAATTGTTTATTACAAATGTATAAACATAGACACGTGCACAATGTAATTTCGTTGCATTCTAATATGTCCGAATAATATGTGTCTGTGCGACAGACACACGTTTCTTAATAAATACCTAAATTTTTATTCATTCACACATATAAATATTGATCGCGGGTATACATGCGCGCTCGCACACATGACACAGAGAGATAAATGGACATAAGTGGATCACAGACAAACTGAATTTTAACACTGCTTAGTCAGTGGCACAAATATGGTTTCAATCGACTAAATTAGCTAATCGTTCATAACGCTTGATAAGATAATGCTTGTTATTGTAAGAAATAAAATATTTCGATAAATATTTATGCATTTTCCTTATTATCTTTCATATATCGAAGATGCATATATCTCTACTTCGTTTGTATATTGACAGGAACTGTTCCTGGAAACCATATTTAGTATATATTCACAAAATATTATTCCTCCTTTTTTCTTTTTAAATATTGTACTAATGCATATTGAAAATATTTACAATTTCATTGTATTTTTGTGATATTTCTTCCGATTTTCTACTCTACTGATATTTCGAAAAATTTTCTAAACTAAATTTAACTGGATATATATACGTATGAATGGCAATATTCAAAAGATGTAAGACTAGAATATCACACGTTTTTTGGAGGGCATAATATATAAACGCGGAATGTAAACGTCGCGTATCTTCGTAACTGTCTTTGTTTTTATGACGAATATTAATCAGGAATATAGAGAGAAATGAGTTTAATAATAATATTTAACATATAAAAATGTATCTAAAAGATTATTATCGATTCCTACAAATATGTTCCTTCTAATGGAGTGATATAAATACCTATATTTAAATTTATTCTATAAAAAACGTCGCTAAAAAACTTATTAATTACGTGTCATGTGTAGATTTATGGAACACAATGGGTTGAATACTTGAAACTATATCGTTATATACTGCTTGATGCCCACTGAGAAACTTCTGTGGGAAGACCAGAATAATTTTTCACAGCCTCAATAACTTGCTGCGATGTTAACGTAAATTTGTAATATTGATATTCTTTTTCGAACTTCGTATTCGTATTTCCAATTGGCAGCAAGATCTCTAAATTCTACAGAATATATATATATATATATATTTCCAATTGGCAGCAAGATCTCTAAATTCTACAGAATATATATATATATATATATA